GAAACTGTCCTCAGTTAGCGGTGGTGACAGCGATGCTCTTGGCGAGAGGCGCAAAGGGCGCGAACTGACGCGGGTCTCGGGACAGATAGGTTGTGGGCCAGGTGAAGAATGGGGCTGGGCGCCCTGGGGAGCGGCGGCGGCGGCTGCGAAGCCGAACCGAGGGCGAGTGGGAGGATGGACTGGCTGGGTGATGGGCCGCCTCCGTCAGGGTCTCACGGTGCCCATTCCTTTCTCTCCCAACCCCGCTCCAGGTCAGTCCGGAATTGGAGATCAACTTTCAGAAGCGAGACACCCCTGCAAGACCCGGGACTCTTCCAACTCTTTCACCTCCATGGGCCAGACGGCCCTGGCAGGGGGCAGCAGCCGCAGCACCCCCACCCCACAGGCCCCGTACCCTGACCTCTCATGTCCTGAGGGCCTGGAGGAACTGCTGTCTGCACCCCCTCCTGACCTGCGGTCCCAGCGGCGCCACGGGTGGAACCCCAAGGACTGCTCAGAAAACATCGATGTCAAGGAAGGGGGGCTGTGCTTTGAGCGGCGGCCTGTGGCCCAGAGTACTGATGGGGTTCGGGGTAAGAGCGGCTACTCGAGAGGCCTGCACGCCTGGGAGATCAGCTGGCCGCCGGAGCAGAGGGGCACCCACGCAGTAGTCGGCGTGGCCACGGCCCTGGCCCCGCTGCAGGCCGACCACTACGCGGCGTTGCTGGGCAGCAACAGCGAGTCCTGGGGCTGGGACATTGGGCGTGGAAAGCTGTACCATCAGGGCAAGGGGCCTGGAGCCCCCCACTATCCAGCCGGACTTCAGGGTGACCCGTTGGAGGTGCCAGAGAGGCTACTGGTGGTTCTGGACATGGAGGAGGGAACTCTGGGCTACGCTATTGGGGGCACTTACCTGGGGCCAGCCTTCCGAGGATTGAAGGGCCGGACCCTCTACCCGGCTGTAAGCGCTGTTTGGGGCCAGTGCCAGGTCCGCATCTGCTACCTGGGCGAGAGGAGAGGTGAGGCCTGGGGCAGGGCTGGGAAGAGTGTCTGTCACTGGAGGTGGTGAATTGGCAGGTGGTTCTAATTCAGCCTTGCCTCTTACCCCTCCTTCTTCAGCCAAGAGGCGGTTTAATTTACTCCCAAGGACAGGTTAAATTGAGGCATGGCAAAAATAACTTGAAGTTCTCTGGGCTAATGCAGGCGGGCTGAATGGGTGGAGGGTCTAGGGATTAGGGTTTACTGAGGCTTCAGGCCCTGAAGCAAGAGATGCAAGGGTTAAATGGTGGCTGGGAGGTGCACTGGTTCAAAGGCAGAGAAGGCTGGCACCAGGGGTGTGTTCAGATTCCCTGAGCTCTGACCCATCGCTGACACATACCTACTTCCTCCCACAGTCAAACTACCCAGGATGAAGCTGGTTTCCTGGGCACCCAGAAGAGCAGGAGGCGGGCCTTAGGGAGGGGTCTCCTTGGGGAGCCAATCAAGGCCAGAACTTGGGGCTGACTGAATTTAGCCATGCCTGAGTTTGTAGTCTCCAGCTAGAGCAAGCAGTACAGGCCCAGCAGGGCCAACCCATCCTTTTTGTCACATAGCACCAGCCCCAAGGCACCGTGGCCTGCCCCCTAGAGGGCCTAGCTGGAGCTGAATTCCCAGCTCTGCTGGAGGATGTGTGAAATCTAGTGGAAATGCAGGTTAAGGTGCCTTGTGGAGCAGGGAAGCCAGAAGGGCCCTGGGCAAAGGCCCAGTAGCTTGAAGGTGTCTGTCTCCTGGTGGGCGCTGCACGCCTTCTTAACCTTCACCTCCCTCTCTCCCCCAGCGGAGCCGCACTCCCTTCTGCACCTGAGCCGGCTGTGTGTGCGCCATGCCCTGGGGGATACCCGGCTTGGCCAGGTATCTGCTCTGCCGCTGCCCCCTGCCATGAAGCGCTACCTGCTCTACCAGTGACCTGTGCTACCCAACAGTGCAAGGAGACCTTGTGGGTCTCAGGAGTGGCACAGGAGGTTGCTGGCTCACACCAGCTTCTTAAAGCCAGTGCCTCTGAGGGAGGAGGCGAGCTCCTGTCCCCAGTATTCTGGGGAGCTCAACAGTCCCAGAGGCACCCAGAGTGGGTGGCAGGAGGGTGCCATTATTCGAGCCTGTGGCTGCCTGGTACTCAAGTTTGTTTTTTTGAGTAAAAATATTAAGATATGTTGTTATAGAAATGCGACTATTTTCCCCCTCCTGGCACGTAGTATAGGGGCTGTGGCTGTCTCAAAAAGGAGAGAAATTGTATGGGCAAGTACAGCGAAGGGCAAACCACAAGGCATAGTGCCAGATATTTATTTCCCCCACAACTGCGACAGCTCACACACGACACAGGCAATGGAATCATGGGAGACGGTAGCACCCCTGGGCCCCGAGGGGCAGACAGGACCTCAGCTGCTGACCTCAAGATATGCGGGAGGGGAAAAGGAGGGTGCTTTCTCTCTCCTGCCTTCACTGGGGACTGAGGCTAAGGGCACCCAGGGGCAAGCCCCAACACCCCTTCCACCTCTCATCTTACAAGAAGCCACCTTGGTGACATGTAAGGTTCCAACCATTATAGTCCTGGGTGAAGTGATTGGCCTGGTCCCAACCATGACAGGGGAAGGTGCACACAGTACAGTTTGGATTAGGCCACGATAGGGGGGCAGGTGACATCATCAGAAGCATGTGGCGGGGTGGCAGTTGATGGGCTTCTGGGCTGCCTAGTCTCTGACTCGGCAGGAAGGGGGCCAGGGAGATGGAAGGAAGGGGCTTATTGTTTGGCATTGATGATATCCACAAATTCGGGCTTGAGGGAAGCGCCACCAACCAGGAAGCCATCCACGTCAGGCTGGCTGGCCAGTTCCTTGCAGGTGGCCCCTGTCACAGAACCTGGGAGGGAAGAGAGAGGGGGAGTGATCAGGGGTGCAGTGGGCCCCCTGAGGAGGACCTGGTTTAGTTTTCAGCCCGTTGGGGCCAAGCCTATTCACCTCCATAAATGATGCGGGTGCTTTGAGCCACTGCATCAGACACGTTGGACTTGAGCCATCCGCGCAGCTTCTCATGGGCTTCCTGGGCCTAGGACAAGAGCAGACAAATACAGCCCTTTCTCCTTCCCACCCAACAGGAAAAAGCACTGGGCACCGATGTGCGATCTTCAAACACCAGCACTTTAATCCCAGCCAGGGCTCAGGATGAGGGGCTCAGACAAATCTTTCTCTCTAGATTTAGGGGCTCCTAGTCTTTAACATGTGGGATTGGCTGGCCCACAGTTCTCTGTGGCTACCCCGTTGTACAAAGGAAGGGCTCCTGGGGTAGGTCACCTGTTGGGGTGTTGCAGTCTTGCCGGTACCAATGGCCCACACGGGTTCATAAGCCAAGACAACCTTGCTCCAGTCGGTCACGTTATCTGCAGGACAGAGATCAGAGATGGAGAGGGCATGAACAGAAGCAGCTAGCCAGCCACCTCCCCAGGGTAGGAAGAAAGGTGGCAGCCCCCTGCTGCCCCCTCCTGGTGACTGAAGAACCCTATTCACCCACCCAAATGGCAACTGTACCATCAGAGGAAGTGAGGGAAGACACAAGGACTCTGGTCCCCCCTTTCCTGGATCAGCCTGGAGTCCAAAGTCAAGCTGAAGCGCATCCGATCTCACCCTCTGTGGCCCTGGCTAGGCTCAAAGGTCCATTCTCCAGAAATACCTGCAATGACCTTGGTCTGCCCGAAAACGACCTTCTCTGTGATGCCAGCTTCCCTTTCATCCAGCTTCTCCCCGATGCAGGCGATTACTCCAAGGCCCTCTGCCAGGGCATGGGCCACTTTCAGCCCAATGAGCTGTTTGGGGAACAGACCGGGTTAAACACCCCTCTTGGAATAAGGGTCTCCTCTCCCCCTTCTTTCCTGCCAACTCACCTCATCTGATTCTCCAAAGACATGCCTTCTCTCTGAGTGGCCCAGGATTACCCAGGTGGCTCCACAGTCTTTGATCATGCCAGGGCTAAATAAGAAAGGGAGCTACAAGTCAAGAGGGAACTTTCCCCTTAGCTAGGAAAGGGAGGGTATGGGTGGGGGTGGGGGGGTTATACCTCCCTTCTGCCTGCGTCTCACCTGATCTCCCCAGTGAAGGCCCCGTTGGTCACTTTGTAGCAGTTCTGCGCAGCCACGGCAATCTTGGCATCGAGCTTCTGCCGGGCGAAGTCGATGTAGGCAGTAGGGGGCGCACAGACCACCTCTGAGGATGAGATGGAAGGTGGGGGTGAGGCAGACATAAGAAACCTGCACTCCTCACTGTCCATGCTGTGCACTGGAGCACCCCGCCCCACCCCCACCAGCCTTCCTCCTCAGTTCTTCTTCCCTCTTCTTGTCACCCAGCAAGATGACCTTTGTCCACTCCCCAGCCCAGGCCGGGCCTGCAACCGACCCAGAGTCTTCCAGGTGGCCGTGAGAGGCCATGGCCCTAGGCCTGCACTCTGCTCTTTAACTAAAGCCGTGGCTCTGGTTTCCGGGGGCTATTCTGGGCACCGGCACCTCCCAGACTCAGCATTCTCGAGGGGCCAAGCCCGCCTCCTTTCTAAAATAGCCATCCTCACCTGCTCCAGCAGGAGAGGATATTTAGCAGGGGAGAGAGGGCCAATTGCTTGTGTTTGCATGGGGGTCGTTAGGGGAATAAACCAGAAGGGACTAGGGCTTTGGATCTGGCGCCTGTGATGTAGGGGGTGGGCGGGCGAGGGCAGAGCACAGCGTTCTTGCCCGTGGGTGGCACGCAGTTGACTAGCTCTTACAGGCCTCGCGCTTCCCCGTTCCCAGGTGTGGGGACGCTGTAGGACCGCTACCCAGTCCCAATGGCTCGGCCAGTTTGCCATCGGCTCAGTGCGTCCACCGATGGCCGCGCCGCCGGGGCTGCTGAATGGAACGGACCCGAGCGCAGGCGGCGGCGGGGCGGCTGGGGTCAGCGGGGGGCCGCGGCCAGGCCAGGCCAGGCCAGGCGCGGGGAGGAGTCTCGGGCTACGTGCGGCGGCGCACGGCGCCGGGGCCCAGGGGCAGGTGGCCGGGCGCCGCGTGCGCGGTGGCCTCCCCGATTCGGGGGCGTCGCCAGTCTCTCCCGGCCGCCCACCGGGGCTCGGGCGGGTTCTGCTCCTATCCCGGCTCCTCGCTCGGCCAGTCCCCGTGCGCGCCCCGGGGCCATCTTCCTCCCAGCGACCGGAGTCCTCTCGCGCCCGGGTCGGAGGGCACCATGAAGTGGGGCCTCGCCTTTCCCTTCCCCTGGACACAGCCCCGCCCCTGCAGCCGCCGCACGGGGGCATCAAGGGCCGGGCACCTAGCAGCCCTCATCCCGGGCCGCGCGTGAGGCCCGGTCCCCGGAGGGCACCCCTCGGGGAGCCCCGCCCGTCCCCGCTCTCCGCCCGCCCGGGTGGGTGAGGGCTTACCGGTATCGGCCGGCAGCTTGGCCGCGTTCAGGTTGGTGATGAGCTCCCCCAGCCCCTTCTTCCGCCCGTTCATCTTCCAGTTTCCCCCGACGAAGAACTTTCTGGAGGGCGCCATGGTGCTGGTGCCCACAGACTGAAGGTCAGAGTCACCGCGCAGCCGCTGCCACTGGTGGCTTATATAGAGCGCCGCGAGGCAGAACTCCGCCTCCTCCTCCTCCTCCGTCATGGCTGGTCCCTCCCCCTGCCTGGGAGTCCTTGCCCCTGGGCCCGCCCGCCCCTCCGCCGGCCAGCCCGCCCGCCGCGGCCCCGGGATTCTGACGTTCCCCGCTGACGACACCCCTTTCTCCTATCGACGTTCCAGCGGCGTCGGGGGTCGGGGCTTGGTGGCCGTCGCCCCCACTGCCTGGCTGAGGGGAGGCAAGCACTGATGTGTGCTCAGGCGGGCCCGGCCTGTGTCCCACAGGGGCGCCTCTGGGCGACAGGAAGGAAGCCAGACCTTGCGCCAGTGTTCACCAGGGCTCAGCCAGCTCCGAGGGGCATGGCTCCAACTCAGGGAAAGAGGACCCTGCCCCCAACATCCGGGGAGCACCCTTGGCCTACCCAGTAACATGTCTGGCCCCACAGCCGCTGGACAAATGGCAGGGTCTGGGGGAGGGACAGCAGCCCCCTCTGAGATGCCTTACTCTACTCCAGCTCACAAGACACTCCTGGGAGCCAGGCAGAGGGCCCCCCAGCCACTAGGGGTAATTGAGAGGTATCTACTGGGCACCTTCCCAGGAGGAAGGGCTCTTGAGCTCGCTTTCCTTTGCTCTGCACTGTCACTCCACGTCCCCGGTCTCACAGCCCCAACTAGCCCGGTGCTTCTACTCTGTCTCCAGCCCTTCTGCCGCTCCAAGGACCACCTCGGAGTGGCACACTCAATTCCCAGGGCCAGTGAAAATGAAAGAGGAGGTACCCAGCGAGTTGCCCAGACTCAGTCTCAGGGACCCACAAGACCAGGTCTCCCTTGCCTATAGGGTAGATAGCAGTTGGCACCCACCGGAGGCATCGAGTTTGTTAAACTGGCCCAAGTGCCCTCCCAAGGTCTCCATGTAGCCATTGAACTTTAATCCACATTGGTCTCAACCGTGACAGGACGCAAAGTTGCCATTGTACTTT